TTCTGGTTAGTTTAAGATATGATCATAATAAATAATTATAAAATTAATCAAATATTATCATTTTGGGTAGCGATGGCTCAGAGGAACAATCCCGGGCGATGGCTGGCCTATACGAACTCCGCATCAAGCTTGCTCCGACCACAGTGCTGACATGAAATGTTCTCAGTGATAGACATGGATTGGATGACATCATGGGTTGGAGTCCCCTTGCGTCAGGCTAACCCTGGGGGGCTCTCGTGGTCTTCCTCCCCATGTAACACAAATGCGGGTTAGTCCTCCACGAAAGCAAATTTCTCTTAATACTTGAGTTCCCTTGTCTTCTGGATTGGGTTCAAAATTACAAGGCTACGGAGTTGAACATCGGAGTTTTGTCATAAACCCGAAATTGGGTCGGCTGTTCAACGACCCGATTTCGAACAATATATATATACGAACAATATATAGAACGAACAATATATATATATTAGATATATAGTTAGAATTCCTTCGCCCTTTGACTCCGTGGGGAGATATTCGCGGTTTCCCTCACCGTATAACGCAAACGCTAACTTTCTACATCAAAAATTTCGTCTAGTTTATCCCATTGCTAGATCTGGGAATGTCCTAGTCTTCCGAGCTGGGTTCGACATTACAAAACTAAGAGTTGAACATTGAGTGACGTAAACCCAAACATGGGTTCATTTTTAAATACTCAATTTTTTCAGATCTTAAATTTCACTGTGATAACAATAAGTTATATTTTTACCATAACGGTAATTTACATCTGTTGTTGATTTTAAAAAAATCTGTTGAATTCGTAATTGCATGAACTGATAGAAATACAGGAATCAAATTTTATACAATGAAATGTTTTATAAAATATATAGCAATGCGAAAATTGTCCTGTATATTTAAAACTGTCATATTAATATGTAACAGAAATACATGTTGCATGCTGCGAGATCTGTTTTTTTTTGCTATATTTTAGACAAGTTAAACAGCTAAATTAGTTCAATTTGTTAATTTTAAAAACAAATAAGGTTTTGAAAATTTGGTCATTTGGCGATTTTTAATCAATATTAGTTTAGCTCGTGAGCATAATACAGGATGTTTATAAAGTCCCAGACCCATTTTGATGTTTAATAACTCATAAAATAATAAAGATAGATTAAAATTAATAACATAAATGGTTAGATAGACTCAAAAAGTTTCATGACCCTTGTCAATGAACTTCCACGTGTGCCCCCTTCGTCGTACGGAGAATATCAAGTCGATAGTCAATTTCACGCCAGGTAGCGGCAAGCATGTCGGCATCAGTTTCTATGAACCACCATAAAATCTGTGCTTTCTCTTGTGATGTATGAATTCTCCTTAATATCCGCTCGAATAAAACATCACATAGAAAAGTACTACATAGAACAAACACATCAAAAGTAAATATAACATTGCAATAGTTGCCAAAAACAAATGAGAGAAAAATGCAGTTAATAAGCAGACGATATTTAGACTGGAAAATGAAATTAACCACGCTCGCAGACGACATTTACAAAAGTAAAGATATTCAAACCTGAAAAGGAAAATACATGAGTTATTCCATCAATAAATGCCATAAGTTTGTTTATATCTTCGTTATTTTATGAGTTACTAAACATCAAAATGGGTCCGGGACTTTATAAGCACCCTGTATTATGCATGAAGAAAAAAAATTGGAATTTTTTGTGCAAAAATTATTTTTAACTCTTTTATTAAATTATTCATTTTTTATAGGCCCTGAAAAGATTGCTACACTTTTTGTAACATCTGGTTTAAAATCATTTAAATTTTATATTCGTTTTTAGCTATGCATATTTTTTCTTCTCACGGCAGATGAAATTTCTTTTGCAGGTGCAATTAAGCCTTGTGTTTTACTGTTTCAGTAATCAACTAATCAGGTTACATCTACATTAAAGGCAGCTGAAACTCCAATTTGTTTAAATCCGCGCCTTGAAGTCGTTTTATCTTTTGATTGGTTATAGAAAGAATTGATATTTAATTCGTCGCCAAACGGCCGCCAATATTGCATATGACAATATTTTTTTCGATTTCTCTTCACTATTTTATAGTTACTTGATTTGCTAGAGTTTATCTCGTAATAATCCAGTTTTCTTGCGATTAGTTTGAATATTTCTCGTTATAATCCAGTTTACTTGTTATTTGCCGGCTAATAATTTTGCTGTCTGTTGATTTTCCTTTTTAATAAAAGCCAATACAGGTAATTAAATGACTACATTTATACTCATTTTAATTTTAATTATTGATTGTCCAGATTCATTCTCTCGAAATTTTGAAAATTAATCCACGTAGCTGCCAACTCTACTGGATTTTGCCAGTTTCCCTTGGTTTTTGTACATTTTTTAAATTACCTAAAATTGAATAAGTTTTCTAAAAAAAAATCCCCATTGAAATAGGATTTTTGTATTGCTTGCTTCAATATTTAAATGGGTATTACTAACACAAAATAAAGCGAACCTCACTTATTGAAATAAATTCGAAACTTTTTTGTTCTAAAATGTTCAGTTTATTTTTATTCAGAACTCTCATTTTTAATTAATTTAAAACAATCTTTTAACAATCTTTAATGAATCAAATAAATAATAAAATTCGAAATTATGAGAGAATTGCAATTGTTTGAATTGTTATGTATAATGTCAATCAAAACTGGAAAATATTGCTGTCTTTCTATTTTGATAACTATAAAAATCCCTAAATTTCAATATGCGTAAAATATTTAGTTCATTGTGCAACAATTATTATGAATTACTACTTTCGTAAGATCTGGATTTTTTCCTATCCATGTTGGCAGCTACGAATGCACTCAATTTTGATAAGGATTAATTCCTGATCAGGTTTCTGCTTAGAAGAAATTTGGGTCCGTTAATGAACCCTTCACAAAATATCTTTCCATAAAAACGAACCTTTCACAAATTTGTTTATCTTAATTATTGTTTTGTTAATCGAATAAAACCTTCCCGGGAGGGGGGGGGGAAGAAAGACTGTTCGAGATAAACTAAGTTTCCCTAATAAGTTTAAAATTCCAATTGTAGTTCTCTAAGAAAATATTTCTACTTTTACAAACATCGTGTGCTCATTTTTATTAATATTAAATCATACTTTTTTTGTAAATAAATAATTGATGATCAATTTATATTTATTCATAAAATTAATTAATTAAATATTATATAAATATTAATGAATTTCTGTTAATTTTTTAAATAAAATATTATAAATTTAAGAAATGTTAAAGTTTACTTAATGCGTGACACATTAAAGGTGATACATTACTAAGTTGTGTTATTTAAAATATGTCAATTGAAATTGTTAAAAATGTGAGTGATTTTGTTTCCATTATTCGTCCGCAATGAATATTCTGTGTATAGGCTAAATACTAGGGGTGCACAACCTTTTTAAGTGATGGGCCACTTGCACAGCAGGTTGACTAACGAAGGGCCGCATATATATTTAGACATGCTAACGGCAAATGTAGTAATATGAATTTAAACATTAGGGTTCTAATTTTTTTTTAATCAATAAACTTAGTAATATATTTGTAGAAAATTAAGGTGTTCAATTATTAGAACTCAGTCAAAAATGAAAAAATTAATACTTTTTAAAAAATAATTTCCAATTTTATCTTATCAAAAATATATTTATTATAACAAGTAAATAAACATGGAAACAAGAAAAGAAATGTTTTTTTATAACCATATCACGTAATGCAAAAATTATTCATTTTAAAAATAAATTATAATAAAGACAGCAATGCTCACGGAATGAAAGTAGATAAAAAGTGTTGTATATATTAAGTAATATAAATTCAAAATGTACTTTATTATTTCTTTTTAATGATTATTTAATTTTTTTTATATAGTAAACGTTTTCTTTTTTTTTTGTTACGGAAAAACATTCAAGCAAAAGAAAAATTGAAATAAAAATTACAAATAGCGAGCAGTTTAAAAATTCGCGTTTTCCACCACTTTGAGAATTCCTCAACTTGCAATCACATTGCATTTAAATTAGGGATGTAACGAGTATTCGGCCTTTTTGTCAAAAATTCAGTTAGTCAAGTGATCAATCAAAGTTCTTTTTTTTTTTTGAATTTGTATAGATATGATAAAGAATAATATAAAATTGTATTTTTAACTATATTATAGTACTGTTTATTATGAGAAATAGTTTTTACACAAATTTGTTACTTTTGAAAATCCATGTTTCTGCAGCAAATTTATCTTCTAGAACAGAGGGGTTTCCGACTTACATGAGGCCGGGGGCCGCAATTAAACAATTAACAAGCAACTTAATCAAAATTTTATATAGGACTCTTTTATGTTAGAGGGAACATTAAATATTATCATGTTATATTCGTTAGGCACTCTGATATCATTTGCATGCAAACTAAGCATTGAAACGTTATTTTGACCCATTAAGTAATCCCTTTCCCAACGATCATTGAGAGCTCTATTTTCAATCTCGCATTTCTTTCCACTCATTATAATTATTTAGTATAAAATAAAAATTAATTGAATAATTAGAAAACCTAAACTTATTNAGAGTTCCCTAATCTTCTGAATTGAATTCAAAACTATGGAGTTGAACTATATTAATCCAACTTAAATGGGTCAGCTGTTCAATGAGGGTTATACATGGTGCGTAGCATGTTTAAAAGGTGCTTATTTTCGAATTTTGTCTTTTAACAGCCTTCAGAAGTGTTTTTTTCATTGGGTGTTTATATAAAGTGCTTAATTTTCCCTTTTTGTTATTATTTTTTTTTCTTTAAAATGCCGATTTTCGCCACTTATTATACAAAAGCGTGTTTTTCACATTGTTCTATTCAATGTTTTCACACTTCATTCAACCACAATCCATTTCGGCACACCGTCTGTCCAATGGTGTATGAAAGTGCCAATCATTTTACATGTTTGATGAGAGTTCGGTGAGGTTACTGTCTCTGATATCGAACCGAAAAATCTCTTGATCTTTTCATAATGGTTAATATAATCAAGAAAGGAGTAGTTCTTGCTCGGTATGATCATGATCATGTATAGTTTTGAAAATTATTTTACGTTTGATAATGTATATATTCAGGGTGCGTAGCGTTTTTAAAAAGTGCTTAAAGGTGCTTATTTTTTTATTTACTTTTCTCTAAAGCCCTTAAAGGTGCTTTTTTTTTTATTCAGGATTTGTAAAGAGTACTTAATTTTCTATCTTTTAGAAAGAGATTTTTTTGTTTGCTGTGTCCATTGTCATTCTAAATTACAAAAAAAAAATTCAAGATTTTCCCAATTTTCTTTGCAATATTTATCAAAAACTAGTTATTTTATCATGATTACGTAAAGTTTTTGAAAATGTTATGAATTTTATGTTTATAAAATATGAACTTTAAACAATAGAAAAGATAATTTTTATTGCTGCATAGATCCTAAATATGAATTTTTTTTTTTTTTGGAAAAATGATTTAAAAAAATTTTTGAGTGCTTAAAATGTACTAAAAAGGTGCTTATTTTTTTTTGTTAAAAGATTTGGCTATGCACCCTGTTATAATATAAAATTTTAGATTTTATCTGTTCCGAAATAATTTGTTTATACTGATCTAAAATTTTCGGTATTTTTATTTAATTTCTTTTCTTTGGTATAAAAGTGCCATTTTGCAACTTCATCATTAGAGTTCGTTTCGGATCTCAATTTTTTCCTTCCACAGTATTAATTCTCTCCACAAAGATTTCTCCACATTTTTTTATCAATTGATTTTCATCATTTAAGAAGAAATTCTAAGTTTCCTTAAATTTAAATTCCAAATGTAGTATTTTAGGAAAACATTTCTACTTTTACATAAATCGTGTGCACATTCTTATTGATATTAAATGATAATTATTTTTGCAAATAAATGATTGATGAATTTCTATTTATTCATAAAATTAATTACTAAAATATTATGTAAATATAAATGAATTTCTGTCAATTTTTTAAATAAAATATTATAAATTTAAGAATTGTTTAAGTTTACTTAATGCGTTACGCATTAGAAGTGATACATAACTTAGTCGTGTTATTTAAAATATGTCAATTGAAATTATTAAAAATGTGAGTGATTGTGTTTCCATTATTCGTCCGAAATCAATATTCTGTGTTGAGCAGTATAGGCTAAATACCAAATATTTGCATCTCTAATTTAGTAGAAGCAATTGTTGAGCAGAATCTTGTACCTATTTACAATTTAAAACCTTTTTGAAAAGGTTTTCAGCAATTTTTGCAATAACAGGACCCTATTTGCGCAAATTCTCAAAAGCAGGACCCTGGTTGAAAAAATGTGACTTAACGCTTATTTTATATTCAGAAATTATGAGTAGTTTTTTTACAATTTTACGAAAGTTCATTTTCTGAAAGACACCTTTATTTTTTTCATTCGAAAACTCTTTCTTAAAATAAACTCCAGTTCTATTAAAATACCAAAAGAGTATAGTCAAACATGCAATGATCACAACTTAGATCCGTTATCTAATTAATATGCGAAGATAGAAGCAAAATATGAATTAACGAAGCACACATCTTCCTTTTTTATTTCCTTATCAGCAATTTTCCAGAGCATGCCACTCCCTATCCAACAATTCCAATTTTCAAATGAATATTCATTTACTTTAGTTTTGAACTTCTGGTTTATTTAATTTGAAATAAAATCTGTTGATAATAATCGTTGAATCGACTTAATTGATGGGGTAATCTTTTCTCTTTTATTTGAAAGAATTCTTTTCTCAACTTTTATACAGTTGCTATAATAGATTCCTTTCAGTTTTGTATGAATTATGAGTAATTCATTATTCAACCAGAGCGGATATTCAGCAAATAATATATAGAACAACCTTTTTCTTTTTTAGTTTCTTTTTTTTTAGGCGAAACATTTAGCTGAAATTATAGAAAAATAGATCAAAAAAATATAGTATAAAGTCCCTGGCCAAATCATTAGACTCACTATAAGAGTCTAGATAAAATCTTAATTTTCAAGTGATACTTTATTGTTTTTAACCGACTGAAATCGGTTTTCTCTTGATTACGTGCATCAATTTGATAAATTAAACGGCATATTATATAAATATAGAATATTTATTTTATCGAGTATTATATTAGTATATTTTAATAATTAGATTAAATTATCAAGCGCACTGTAATATTTTAATTATGGCATGTTTGGCACTTATGTACACTTTCATATTTAAACATGAATGTAATGGGTTTTTATTCAGGAGATTTTTTATGTACTTTGCATTCATTAGGCCACTTAAATAAGTATTCTTTTTAAATTACCTGTTTTCTCCGAAAGGCTCATAAAAAATATTAAATAATTTCTTATCTTCCGTCATGTGATTGACTTTTTCTAAATCACCAAAATGCGACTCTCGAAATTGTATTTGAAAATTATATCCAATATAGCTGCCAACTCTACTGGATTTTGCCAGTTTCCCCTGGTCTAATGGTTTAATTAAAATTCTCCTGGTTCTTGAACATTTTAGAAAATTACCTAAAATTCAGAAAAAGTTTCCTGAAAAAAAAAATCCCTATTGAAATAGGATTTCTGTACAGATTATTGCTTGAATATTAAAATGAGTATTACTAACACATAATGAAGCGAACCTCATTTATTAAAATCAGTTCAAAGCTTTCGTAGTTGTTTTTTACGTCGCACTAGAGCTGCACAATGGGCTATTGACGACGGTCTGAGAAACATCCTTCAGGATTATCAGAAGACATCATGCCATCACAATTTTGATCTTCTGCAGAGGGGGTGGCACCCCCTCTTCGGTAGCCCAACGACCTGCACGCGAAGTCGAGCACTTTACGGTAGAACAGTTACACGAGGACCCATACCGCACACCCTCGGTCCCTACGCATACTGATCAGGGTTTGTTGATTGAAATCAGCTTGATTTCAATCACGATTTAAATCATGATTTAAATCAATTGTTTTTTTAAAAAAAGCCATCGAATTAAATCAACTGTTTTTTTTTTATACATATATATTGATTTAAAAAGTTAAGAAACAGTGTTTTAAATTATTGATGGTTTTTATTATTTTCTTTTCTTAGTTTAAAAATTTATTTTAAATGAATTGCTGCATTAATTAGTTTTAGTTAACGAAATTACTTTCTTGTTGTGTGTTAAATTCCAACACATTTGAAATTACATTTTTAAAAATCTTTTGATTCTTGAGATTGAAAGTACAGTTTAAAGTACACATTTAATGCTGTCTTTTTATAGACTTGCATAGCTGTAGAAAGTAATTAATAATCATGAATTTTCTTCACAAAAAAAAAATAATGTTAGTTAAAATTCACCCTTTTGATTGAAAAAGCATGGAATTAAAATCTACATTATATTTTATTGGTGGAAAATGTATATTTTTAAAGCATGAGGTTATCTTAAAAAGAAGTTACCCTAATATGCCGAAAATAGGGTTCTCTATTTCATCTAGTCTTCAAATTTCAATCATGCATTTGTTTCAAAATGGTTGCTATGCATTTAAAGCTATGTATTATAATGAAAAATTGTTTTACGTAGTTAGAGCTTCTGAAATAGTGTTATAATATAGTTTTAATATAAATTTAATTTTGATTAAACATTTATAAAGTTTTTTTTAATCATAAATCAAAGTTCCTACTGTGTATTAGAATAAAAAAAAAAAAAAATCAGATTTAAATTTAAAAAAAATTGAATCACAAAAATCTGATTTTTTGATTTTTTTAAAAAAAAAGTCACGAACTCTGATCCAAGTGGTCATCCACCCGCATACTGTGCGCAGCCAATGATGCTTGATCTGTTGTTAACCGTGTATTAATGATCAGTCCACTGCTGGACTATTTTTTTCTTTTTTTTTTTTTNTTTTTTTTTTTTTTTTTTTTTTTTTTTTTTATAAAATGATAAGTTTATTTTTATTCAAAACTCTCTTTTTAAAAAAATCAAAAAAAAAAAAATCTTTTAACTATTTTTGATGAATTAAAGAAATATTAATATTCGAAATTATGAGAAAATTGTAATTGTTAATATTGTTATGTTCTTAGGAAAGAGTTAAAGATGTTGTGTTCTGCAGATTACTGCCTCCACTTTGTACCGCCCCCCTACCGATCAGTTGGTACACAAACTAAAAAGGTATGTTGTTGTTTTTTTTAACCACAATCAATTTGCATCAAATTATAATTTCATACTTTAAAACTACTCCGACTGGCCTGTGTAGGGGGCAGAGAACTGTCCGTGTATAAGAAAGGTTCTGGGTTCGAATTCCGGACAAGGCATGAATGTACTTTCATTCTCTGTTCTATCTGTCCTCACTGTGGGAGCGACGTAGGCCCACTTAATATTTTGCCCCTGCAAGAAAGGCGAACAAAATCGCCCTGTATATGCCTGAATTGACGGATGTTAACGCAGGTGGGCATTGGAAAAAAAAAAGAAATTACAGCTACAGTGGATGAAGCATTTTTGACACACTCTCTAGATCAGTGTCTCCCAAAATGTGGTACGCGTTCCCCCTGGAGTGCGGGAACAGTTTAGCGGGGGTGTACATTCTTATGCGCGCAATATCTTGCAACAAACGGAAATTTCAAAAAATTTTATTGAAGAACAAAGCTAGCCATGAAAATGTACGATTACGTATTTTTCTATTGGCTATTTTTTACCGAGTTAACAGTTAATAATTAGGGGTATCAACAACCAGTTGTGATTTTTAACTTTTGTGCAATTTGTATAAAAAATACATTCATTTTTTTATGAGTGGTACACAGCGTTACGAAAAATTTAGTAAATTAGTAATGTAAAAATATTTAATTTTAAGTAGATTTGTTATTATATTTTGCAATGTCGGTGACGCGTGTCAGTAACGAAGCGATAGAATGTTACATTTATAAGATAACTTTTTCATGGTGCGTAGCTTTTTTAAAAAGTGCTTCTTCTCATTGGCACGACAGCCCAGGATGGGCCTTCTCAATAAGCCTATGCCAAGACATTCTTCCCTTAGCCAAGGTTCTCCAGTTTATTATCTTTAAAACTTGTAGGTCCTTTTCAAGGCAGTTTAAAAATCTTAGGTTTGGCCGTCCTCTTTTTCTTGTACCTGTTGGCCTGTCACTGAAAACAGTTTTGGTTGTCCTGCTATCCTCTATTCTTATAATGTGGCCATTTAATCCTTTGTATTTTGATAAATGTAATGACATCAGGTTCTTTCATATGCTTTGTAAAGTTCCGTGTTTGATCTTCTAAACCAGGTACCGTTTTTACTTATTTCACCAAAAAATTCTTCGCAGTATTTTTCTCTCAAATCTAGCTATCATATTTTCATCTCCACGGGTCATTGTCCAGGTCTCATATGCGTATGTAAGCAGTAAGCACTGATCTTATAAGACATTTATAGAGCAACACTTAATTTTCTTTTTATTAGGCTTGACTTAAGATATTTTCTTAGACCATAAAAACACTTATCGGCCATCGTGATTCTCGTCTGTATTTCTTGTGTAGTGTCGTTTTTGTTGTTAAAAAAGTGCTTAAAGGTGCTTATTTTCGTTTTTTAAAAGCCCTCAAAGGTGCTTTTCTCATTAGGTGCTTTTTAGAAGTGCTTAATTTTACTTTTTCGAAAATGTGATTTTTTCTTCACTATGTCTATTTTCGCCACGTTGGATGCAAAAGCGTGCCATTCAAAGTTTTCGCAACTCCTTCCAACCACAATCCATTTTGGCCGGGCCATAGCGTATAAAAACGCTAATCATTTTTGATGAAATGTCCGCATGTACGTCTTCTGAGCAGAAGTCAGTGAGATTTTAGCACTCTTACGTGCAATTTTGTTGCATTTTGCAAAATATTCTCAATTTCTGTCTTCATTTTCTACACTCTGAAATCGAACCGAAAAATCTCTTGATATTTTTATGGTGGATAATATGATCAAGAAAAGAGTTATTTTAACTAGTTATTTTATCATGATCATGTAAGTTCTTAGAAATTATTTTACATTTTGATAATGTATATAATACTTTAAAATATTTTTTGAGTGCTTAGAATGTATTTAAAAGATGCTTATTTTTTGTTGATTTTTTTTGAGTAAGTTAACATAAAATGATAAAAGTATTTAAACTAAAATAACAAATTTTGGTTTTCTTATTTGTCTCTTTATTTGAAAAAATTATTGCAAAATTCCTTATAAGAAGATGCTATATATTTCTTGTTTGAAACATGGATAGTTCAAGCATGAGGTTATCTTAAAAAGAAGTTACCCTAATATGCCGAAAATAGGGTTCTCTATTTCATCTAGTCTTCAAATTTCAATCATGCATTTGTTTCAAAATGGTTGCTATGCATTCAAAGCTATGTATTATAATGAAAAATTGTTTTACGTAGTTAGAGCTTCTGAAATAGTGTTATAATATAGTTTTAATATAAATTTAATTTTGATTAAACATTTATAAAGTTCTTTTAATCATAAATCAAAGTTCCTACTGTGTATTAGAATAAAAATCAAAAAAATCCGATTTAAATATAAAAAAAATTTAAATCACCAAAAACCTGATTTTTTTTTATTTTTAGAAAAAAAGTCACGAACATCCAAGTGGTCATTCACCCGCATACTGAGCGCAGCCAATGATGCACCGATCAATTGCTAAACAGACTAAAAAGGTATGTTGTTGTTTTTTTTTACCACAATCAATTTGTATCAAATTATAATTTCATACTTTAAAACTACGCCGACTGGCCTGTGTAGGGGGCAGAGAACTGTCCGTGCATCTGAAAGGTTCTGGGTTCGAATCCCGGACAAGGCATGAATGTACTTTCATTCTCTGTACTATCTGTCCTCACTGTGGGAGCGACGTTGGCCCACATAATATTTTGTCCCTGCAAGAAAGGCGAACAAAATCGCCCTTGTATATGCCTGAATTGACGGATGTTAACACAGGTGGGCATTGGAAAAAATAATTATTTTTTTTTAAGCTACAGTGGACTCCCAAAATCTAGAAAATCTCTCGAAAAATCGATTTTTTAATTTTGAACATTTTACATTAATTAAATGATATAAAAAAAAGCATATTAATTATTAAAATCATAAGATTTGAAAAAATTTAGAGCTTTCTTATTACAAAAACTTGTCTATTGTGAGTGTCTTGTGCTGTGTTTCTCGAAACAAAAGTTTCGCATCTAAATGGAAATAGTTCCATGCGCTATCATTTTGATGACTATTATATGAAACATTTTTGACACACTCTCTAGATCAGTGTCTCCCAAAATGTGGTACGCGTTCCCCCAGGGGTACGGGAACAGTTTAGCGGGGGTGTAAATTCTTATACGCGCAATATCTTGCAACAAACGGAAATTTCAAAAAATTTTATTGAAAAACAAAGCTAGCCATGAAAATGTACGATTACGTATTTTTCTATTGGCTATTTTTTACCGAGTTAACAGTTAATAATTAGGGGTATCAACAACCAGTTGTGATTTTTAACTTTTGTGCAATTTGTATAAAAAATACATTCATTTTTTTATGAGTGGTACACAGCGTTACGAAAAATTTAGAAAGTGTACACAAAAGTCATAAGTTTTGCAGGGGTCTGTCCAGACATTTTGTGAAAGGTCCGTTTTTGTAAAGTTGTAAAAAAATTACTCATAATTTTTGAATATAAAATAAACTTTAAGTCATATTCTTTCAACCAGGGTCCGCTTTTGTGAATTTGTGCAAATAAGGTCCATTATTGCAAAAACATTTTTCAAGGAGTTTTAAAATTGTAAAGACATACAAGGTTATGTTCAACACTGTAAAATTATAATTAAAAAAATTAAATTTTCAAAAATAAACAATTGCTGCTTCTAAATTAGAGATGCAACATATAAATATTTGATATTTAGCCTATATTGCTGAAAGCAGAATATTCATTTCGGACGAATAAAGGAAGAAGCTTCTGAGGAAGACAAAACTCAGTTCTTTTGCATTTGTCTTTCTCCCCCCCCCCTTCCTGGGAAGATTAACGAAACAGTAATGAAGATAAACAAATTTGTGAAGATTCCGATTAAAAGATAAACAAATTTGTGAAGGGCCCGTTTTTAAGTTAAAATATTTTGCGAAGGGTCCATTTTATGAAAAGATATTTTGCGAAGGGTCCGTTAAGGGGCCGAAATTTCTTCTAAACAGACCCCTGTTTGGGAAACACTGCTCTAGATCAATAAAAAAAAAACTTGTTGAGAAAAAGTATCAAAATAAGCTGCAACAACAGATTTTATATACATTTCAATGTTCNTTTTTTTTTTTTTTTTTTTTTTTTTTTTTTTTTTTTTTTTTTTTTTTTTTTTTTTTTTGCCGAAACTTGCTTTTTTAGCTCTGATGAGAATTGGTAGAAAAACGTGTTAATTTTTTCCCTACAATTTGAAGATATGAAAATAGAGTAGAAATTAAGAAATAATTTTTAAATTTAAGGAAAAATTTAGCTTATTTAAACTTCCAAATAAATAAAAAGAAAAATTAAATTTTTCAAGTTATAACATGAATTCTGTATAAAATTGTTCTTTCTCTCTCTAAATCTAAACAATCTCTACAAGCAATGTAAAAGTATTTTTCAAGAAAAACTTATTAAAGAGTCCACTGTAGCCTTAAAGCACACTTAACTGTGGTGTATGGCGATGCGTAGCCTAATATTAATTTTTAATTAATATTTAATTTTAAGTAGATTTGTTATTATATTTTGCAATGTCGGTGACGCGTGTCAGTAACGAAGCGATAGAGTGTTACATTGATAAGAAAACTTTTTCATGGTGCGTAGCTTTTTTAAAAAGTGCTTCTTCTCATTGGCACGACAACCCAGGATGGGCCTTCTCAATAAGCCTATGCCAAGACATTCTTCCCTTAGCCAAGGTTCAGTTTATTATCTTTAAAACTTGTAGGTCCTTTTCAAGGCAGTCTAAAAATCTTAGGTTTGGCCGTTCTCTTTTTCTTGTACCTGTTGGCCTGTCATTGAAAACTTTTTTGGTTGTCCTGTTATCCTCTATTCTTATAATGTGGCCATTTAATCCTTTGTATTTTGATAAATGTAATGACATCAGGTTCTTTCATATGCTTTGTAAAGTTCCGTGTTTGATCTTCTAAACAAGGTACCGTTTTTACTTATTCCACCAAAAATTCTTCGCAGTATTTTTCTCCCAAATCTAGCTATCATATTTTCATCTCCACGGGTCATTGTCCAGGTCTCATATGCGTATGTAAGCACTGATCGTATAAGACATTTATAGAGTAACACTTATTTTTCTTTTTATTAGGCTTGACTTAAGATATTTTCTTAGACCATGAAAACACTTATTGGCCATCGTGATTCTCGCCTGTATTTCTTGTGTAGTGTCGTTTTTGTTGTTAATAAAAAAGTGCTTAACGGTGCTTATTTTTGTTTTTTAAGAGCCCTCAAAGGTGCTTTTCTCATTAGGTGCTTTTTAGAAGTACTTAATTTTACTTTTTCGAAAATGTGATTTTTTCTTCATATGTCTATTTTCGCCACGTTGGATGCAAAAGCGTGCCATTCAAAGTTTTCGCAACTCCTTCCAACCACAATCCATTTTGGCCGGACCATAGCGTATAAAAACGCTAATCATTTTTGATGAAATGTCCGCATGTACGTCTTTTGAGCAGAAGTCGGTGAGATTTTAGCACTCTTGTGTGCAATTTTGTTGTATTTTGCAAAATATTCTCAATTTCTGTCTTCATTTTCTACACTCTGAAATCGAATCGAAAAATCTCTTGATATTTTTATGGTGGATAATATAATCAAGAAAAGAGTTCTTTGTCAGAAACTAGTTATTTTATCATGATCATGTAAGGTCTTTGAAATTATTTTTCATTTTGATAATGTATATAGTGCTTTAAAATATTTTTTGAGTGCTTAGAATGTATTTAAAAGATGCTTATTTTTGTTGTTGATTTTTTTGAGTAAGTTAACATGAAATGATAAAAGTATTTAAACTAAAATAACAAATTTTGGTCTTCTTATTTGTCTCTTTATTTAAAAAAAGTATTGCAAAATTCCTTATAAGAAGATGTTTGTTGTTTGAAACATGGATAGTTCTCTCGACTTAATTAACATTTATGTATAATAAAAAAATTTGATAATCAAAAAGAGAATTATTCCCTTTTTACTTTCAGAAATTAAAATAAAATTCATATGAGTATAATAAATAGCCACACCTTTGACAACCTATAAGAATTAGTTAATAATAGGTCCTATTATCAATAATAAAGCCTAGAATAACCTAGTTAATATTTTTCTGAATAATAAATGCACTGTAATAAATATAAAATTTCCTGAATAAATATGAATGTCCGAACAATTTTTCCTATGTAATAAAATAATTTTCTAAATAATAAAAAAATAAAAATATTCTTCGGCGTATAAATTATATTTAAAAACGGAATTTATTAAAAGATAATTTTACTTTAGATCAATTTTTTTTTATAACATGAAATGTGCTTTTATATATTTTTAAGTGTGTGCAACTAAAATATATAATTAAATTCGCTTAATTATATAAAAAAAAATTATTTCGCAGCATCAATATAAATTACAGAGCGAAAATAAAAAGCAATTTGTCTGCAAAATATTGGCTTGAAAAAAATGCGCCGAATCCGATGCAAGTGCTTAATCGAAAAAGCAGTAAAATATCAGAATGTTTATATCCATATGAAATTTAATTGTAATGAAAATACCTACAAATGTTAACTACATTATAATCTATTAATCTAAATAAAAAAATAATAGCTATTTTGCTAGTTAAAAACCAATTTAATTAATAGCATAACCTGACTTACATACAAATTGCAAATAAATGTAAAATGATAAAAATTTTATTTGTGAAATGTAAAAGGTCCTCCTTTTATGAATTTTTTTTCACATCCATATGCCCAACAGTATTCGACTATTTTTATTGTTCAAAACTTCAGGAAAAATCGTCCCGGAATCACGTGTAGGGTATCTGCGCACCTGGAAAATCGTGAATTTCGATATTGAACAAAATTTGTCATGAAATGTCTTGATATTAACTACTTTTTTAAAAAAAGATCATGAAAAGTCACGGATTTAGGTCGCCAAAAAATCTAATTTTTAAAATAGAATCCCCCTCCCCCCCACCCATCAATTTCATGGTATTCCGAATGTCTGAATTTGTAATAAAATCCCCACTCACAGTCCTACTTTATTAAAATATAAAATGTTTTTATCTTGTTCTTTAAAAATCATGGCGTTCTTTAAAAAACTGAAAGAAAAACATCATTTCTAGAGCGAATTATCTTTTAAACTACTGTGATTTCAGAATTTTTGTTCTTATTTTATTTTATCAATTTAAAATTCTAGCTGAATTAAGCCAATTGTTGGCGAATTTTTTATATTTTTTATTCCGAAATGAGAACAGAAAAATCAGGAGTATTTCTTTCCTTTCCGATGAACTAGAAAATTATCTTCAGAATATAATTCTGCAGAAAAAAAAATTTATTTGCTTTTGTATTTTCTTCAGCTATTTTATTGCTTCACCTCTTTCGTTACTCGTGCTTTTTAATTTTGAAATCTATAAATATGAAGATACAGAGTATAACAGTTTTGCTTTTACCTATCATTTCAACGAATGTTATTATGATGCTTTTTTTAAATGTATTGTTGTGTTTTGTCGGAGAAAATAGTAACATCCTTAAGTCATGAAAAATTCTTGGAATTAGTCATAGAAAATCATGAGAAGTCGTCGATTTGAAAATCTAAAATTTAGCAGATATCCTGCACGTGACAACGTTCTTTGCGTCAAGGAAAGGGGGAGTGGTTCTCTGCGTAAATCACTCCCCGTTTCCTTTTTTTTCGCCCCGCCCAGTCCTCAAGAATACTAGGTTTCAACCTATGGCTTTGATTTAGATGACATTTTACGGAATGCTTCTTTGAATTGCATCACTTTTTCTTTGAAGTGCATTTAACAATAAAAGAAGAAAAAAATGCTTGACTCTCCTTTTTTAAACATTATTTATATTGCGAATATTTTTTTTATTTAGGAATTGAAAACTGTTAAAGAAGTTACCTAAAGAAAACTTTCAAAATTCGTTTAGAAAGGAAAAAAAAAATTTTTTTTTTGAACAAAATTAAAAGAGGAGCATCGTATATCTCTTTGTTATTTTATAGCATTGTGCATCGGAAAAATTTACTATGATAATAAGGAGATCAGCAGGCTGCGTAGCGCTTTTAACAAGCACTTAAAGGTGCTTATTTTCAATTTTCGTTTCTTAAAAGTCCTTAAATGTGCTTTTCTTATTGGGTGCTTTTAAAAATTACTTGAATTTCACTTTTCGAAACTAAATGAGATTTTTTTTCTTTACCGTGTCTTTTTTCGCCAAAGCGGGGTTTTCACATTGTTCTATTCAAAGTTTTCACGATGCAATCAATACCTTCAGAGGCATGATTAGTTACGGGAACATGGAGGACTTTGTGACTCGACAGATTTAACGTGCATCAGTCACCATTTACTACATGGGGAGTCTTCGTCAGACGTGAATCGAACCCTTGCTCTCTTGGACATAGGCCACAGTGCCGTACAAACCAGGCAATCCCGACCCTCGTTCCTAACTGTTATGACTCACACTTATAAAAATGTCTTATGAGTGTTATTACTCTATGTTTGCAATGATCCAGAAACGATTGTAAAATTTATCTACTACCGTTAATTTTCGATTCCATCATTAAAGATCCGAAAACGAGTGAATAAAACATAAAAATAAAAGAATAAATTATAAAACAAATGATCGTCATAAAAAAAAAAAAAAAAAAAAAAAAAAAAAAAAANAAAAAAAAAAAAAAAAAAAAAAAAAAAAAAAAAAAAAAAAAAAAAAAAAAAAAACAGAATCCTTAACAAGAGATCATCCACGAGTTTAAAATTTGCATGATTATTTTAATTGTTAAAAAATGTTAAGTGAATAAAATATAAATTGTTTTTTTTTTTTTTAGATCAAAGAGGTGGCTTCACGAAAGAGGGTAAGTCATGTTTTGTTTTTATTAAAATAGTCGATATTATATATACACACAGGGGTCTGTCTAGGATAAATTTGGGTCCGTTAATTATTCACAAAATTATTTTTCTTTTAATCGGACCCTTCACAAATTTGTTTATCTTCTTCATTGTTTTGTTAATTGAATAAATCCTTCCCAGGGCAGAAAACAAGAAAGATAGATGTTGACGATTCTTCCATTATTCGTCCGAAATGAATATTCTGCGTTCAGCAGTATAGGCTAAATACCAAATATTTGTATGTTGCATCTCTAATTTAGTAGCAGCAATTGCTGTTTATTTTTTAAAATTTAATTTTTTTTAAAATTATAATCCTAGTGTTGAGGAAATTATAATCCTAGTGTAGTATTAACAGGACCCTATTTGCACAAATTCACAAACAGTCGAAAGAATGTGAATTAACGTTTATTTTATATTCACAAATTACCTTTGAAATCGAGCCGAATAATTTCTTAATCATTTTATGGTGGCTAATATAATCGAGAAAAAAAAAATCTTTGTCAGAAACTTATTTTGTCATAATCGTGTTACATGATTAAAGTTATAGTTAGTCTTTAAAAGTTATTTTGCATTTTGTTAATGTATATAGCATTAAAAATATTTTTTGAGTGCTTAGAAAGTCCTCAAAAGGTGCTTATTTTTTGTTGAAAGATTTGGCTACGCATCGTACTTAAAATTTTATTTTTGCAATAAAAAACCATTTTTTAATTTATACAGTAATATAAAGAGCAAAATTAAATAGTCAAATAATTTTTCCATTTTTCTGAAATGTTTGTCATTCTTTTATTTCTCTAAGAAGTGTGCTTTTATTTACTTTTTTTTTTATACTTACAGGCTGCCGAGAGTTCAGCTGGCCAATGTCCAAAGTAAGTAAAATTTTTCTCGATCTATAATTATTACACTATGTTGTATTTTATAAACAAGCAAAACAACGCACAACGATAATAGAAAAATAATCCCATATAAAAAATTTATTCTTATTTCGTATTATTTTAAAATGCGTAATTTTTAACGATAAAAACATATTTGAAGCTAAATTATGAACTAGTTTGGAGAAGGAAAATTTAAAAACATTCTTTTTTGAAATTTCCTGTGTTAGAAACTATTTGACCTATTGTGTTTAAATTTTGTTCTTTCACATTTAAAATCAGAAAGAGTAAAATTATTTAAAAAAATAATTTTTTTCCTTAACACTCAAATTTTTTCGATCATCGCTAAATAAAACACTAAAAAGAACATTATTAAAATGTTTTTATCTCCGAGGGATTAGATTATCTTCGGATAATCCGGAATTTTGATACCAAATTTGTTCTGGATACTATTTTGGGTCCATTTTTTTAAAAAGGAATATTTTTGGTGGAAAAAAAATCTTTCTGAAGAATGAAAAAACTATTTTTGAGCGAATTTCTTAACGAATGCAAAAAATTTAGTTACTACAGGGTTCCCACGGTCCTTAAAAACTACTTAAAAGTCCTTAATTGTCAGCCTCACTGCATTTGATAGGAACAATTTTTAAAAAAATGTCAGTCTTTTATCATCAACCTTGTATCGAGGGTAAAGCATTTTAAAGAGACCAAAATTAATGTGTGTTTGTGGGGGGGGCTACAGGCAAGGGAAAAAAAGCATGTCTTTTCATTAATATATTCTGCCTTTTGCCTAGAATGATACTCTATGAGGAGAGTGAAGCATTCTAAAGATAAAGAATAGTGTGGACAAAGGGGATACTGCGCAGGGAACAGATAGTGTTTTCTTTTAACGGGGGGGGGCAGTTATAAGGTACCTCAATGGAAGACTCACTCTAAACACACTTCAAAATTGACAGAATTTAAGAAATTCAGTTATACTAGTAATGCATCTGCTTATAAGAATTAGTCCCGCAGTGGACTGATCGTTAAGACATGGTTCTCATCAGATCACCGAAGTCAAGCATCACTGGCTGCGGTCAGTGTGCGGGTGGGTGACCCACGGGTCTGGGATTCTGTTTATNCCGCAGTGGACTGATCGTTAAGACACGGTTCTCATCAGATCACCGAAGTCAAGCATCACTGGCTGCGGTCAGTGTGCGGGTGGGTGACCCACTTGGATCAGTCTGCGTAAGGACCGAGGGTGTGCGGTATTGGTCCTCGTTAAACTGTGCTACCGTAAAGTGCTCGACTTTGCGTGCAGGTCGTTGGGCTACCGAAGCGGGGGTGCCATCCCCTTTGCAGAGGATCAAAATTTTCTTGGCATGTCTTCGGATCATCCTCAGGGATGTTTCCCAGACCGTCGCCATTAGCCCATTGTGCAGCTCTAGTGCGACGTAAATCAACAACAACAACAGCTTATAAGAATTAAGTAAAATGCTAATAAAAGAAGTATAAGAAAAAAATTTTGAACTAGAATCCATAACAATTACTATTTCCTAAAATCTTGATGAATTAATTAAATTTGTATAATTTTTCAATGTGTAACAAGTAACTGTAAATTTATAAGAAAGCAGTAACGTTTTTTAAAATTCATGATTGTACTGAAAATTAAACAGATCTGTTAGAAACAGGATTTGAAAACCCCTGCCAACCTAGGTTTTTCATCTAAAACCTGGGGTTTATTGGGTTTTTGATGAGAACCTCAAGTTTTTTCAAAAATATTTTTAAAAAAATTTCCTGAGTATTAAATAAAATAGCATGATTTTTTTCTAACAAGAAAGTTAAATATTCGGTAACTATTTATAATATATTATGTTGCAATGTAAAAAAAAATATATTTTTTTTAATTTTAAATTGTTACGGTATTTTTATTTTTTAAGGATAAGCAGATTGTTATATAAAAATTTAAATCTGCTCAACTAAAAGATTCTTAGATTTTAATAATCATTTTATTCAGTTAACATTGCAACTTAGTATACTGTTTTCAATTTTTATTCAATTTTTGGTTGCTTTAAAATTAGTTCATGTTTTTTGCCAGATTGTTTAGTAACATAATGTAACGTTAATTCCTAATAACAGGTTTGGCTGGAAATAATTTTGTGTGAAGTTCATCATAAAAGTAAATACAACACATTTGCTGGACTAATAGCGAAATACAACAAAGCTTGTAATAATTTTTTCAATGTTTTTGCTAAATTTCTTTATATAGTCTTTTTTTTTTATATACATGAAAAAAATTGCAAATCTTAATTTCTGCACTTAATTGTACTATTCAATTTCAATGAAATCATTAAAAAGGGAATACAGATTAGTTTCATAGATGATGTTAACTTTTAACAATCGGAAAATGTTTTAGAAAAAAACCCGACCCGGGTTTGCAAAAGCTGCCTGGTACTTCTTTGGTGAGCCCTGTTAATTAATACAATTATATCAGTGCATTATAATTAAATTGTTTTTATCATTATTTTTTATTTATTGATTTTTTTTAAGAAAAGTAAACAATTGGCACTGTCACTGGCAGTATATGTATATTCGATGATAAACAATCATACTATTTCTAAAGTCCTTAATTTTACAAAAATTACTTAATTTTTAAAAAAAAAAACTCCTTAAAAGTGCTTAATTTTTGCTCTGTTAAAAGAGTGGGAACCCTGTACTATGTTTATGTTTAATATTAAAAATATTTCAAAATATGTTCATACAGTGGCGTAAAAACAATGAAGCTGTATAGTACCATCTGACAATCAGGAGTTTACATAGAATCTTATAGTGTGTCTAGTAATTTGGGCAGGGACTGTACTTCAGTGAGCTGCAGATCGGCACACACGGTATTTTTTGCTACAAGCGACACAGTTCTCGAACTAATTAGCAAATGATAGTTAATGAAATTAATCATCACACTGTAAAATCAGGGTGCGTAACCTTTTCATATTTTATTTTATAAAATGACCTTTTCTTATTCGGGGTTTGTAAAAAAGTGCTTAGTTTTCTATCTTTTAAAAAGTGATTTTTTTTTTCTTTGTGGCGTCGATTATCGTTCTAAATTACAAAAAAATGCATGATTTTCACAATTTTCTCTAATAAATATCACTAACTAGTTTTTTTTTATCATGATTATGCAAAGTTTTTGAATTTTATTGATTTTATGTTGATAAATTAAGAACTTTAAACGATAGGAAAAAAAAAAATTTTGTTACTTCACAGTTCCTAATTTTTTATTTTTCATTTTTTTGGAAAGTGATTAAAAAATTTTTTTGGATGCTTAAAAAGGTGCGCATTTTTTGTTGAAAAATCTGGCTCCGCACCCTGATTAAAAATTTGACAGTCGCTTTCTTACTTCATGGGTATTGTCACCTTTAAACTACACCCCTGATTTCCAAGCACAATTTTTACATCAATATTTTTTGTCTTTTAAGATTTATGGCAGCTGGACCCTCAAGGATGAGACAACCATCCTCATCAAGTGATGAATCCGAAGAGGTGAGTTTATTTTTCTGAATTATCTGTCACTTTTAATATTTTCTGTTTTGCATAGCATCTTTCTTGTAGATTTATCTTGAAATCCTGTGGCAGAATTTTTTCGAGCTAACTGTGACAAAACTCTCTAGCACTAATATCTTTCTGAAAGGTACTTTTAATAATAACAAACATATATGCCATTGTATCCGCCCATCTGGAAAGTCATGGATTTCGGTATTGGAACAAAATTCGACATGATTTTAACTGCTTTTTTTTATAAAAAAAAACCATGGAAAGAGGTTGACGAAGAATCTAATTTTTAAAATGGAATGTCCCCCCCCCCCCTCNTTTAAAATGGAATTTACCAATTTCACAGTTTCCAATGTTCCGAATATCTGAATTTGTAACAAAATCCCCACTCATAGTCATATTTTATTAAAATATGAACTGTTTTTATCCTGTTCTTTAAAAATTATTGTGTTCTTTCCAAAAATGAAAGAAAGAATATCATTTCTGGAGCGAATTATCTTTTAAACTTCCCTGATTTCAGAATTTTTTTTATCTGCTTACAATTTTATTTTTTGTTTTATAAACTTAAAATTCAAGTTTCGGCTTTTTATATGACGCTTACTTTAACGAAGAAATAAAACAGGTTTAAATAACTGATTATATTTAGTTATTAGCTTTTGTATTTTTATACCTATTTTATTGCTTCAACTCTTTCTTTATTCTCTTTCTTTACTCTGTTTTTTAAGTTCAAAATCAATAAATATGAAGATGCAGAGTATAACAGTATTCGTAATACCTATCATTTCAATTAACGTAAATACAATCAGGGATCTGTTTTGAAGAAATTTGGGTCCATTAACGGATCCTTCATAAGATATTTTAACTTAAAAACGGAATCTTCACAAGAGCCACTCGAAAGACATTTGCGTATTATTGTAAATGGGCGGGAAAAATTGACTGATGTTTCAGATATTAATAGATATTTTCAACTCTACTGGCAATCGACGTATATTGCTCTAATATTTTGTTAATTATGTTTTTTTGTTTTAATTCTAAGGCTAAATTGGATCTCATTTCATATGTATTATTTACCTTAACCTCTTCGAAGTCAAAAAAAAAAAAAAAAAAAAAAAAAATTTAAAATTCCAAATGTAGTATTCTAAGAAAATATTTCTACTTCTACAAACATCGTGTGTGCATTCTTATTGATATCAAATTATATTTTTTTGTAAATAAATAACTGAGATAAATAATTAATTGATAAAATATTATGTAAATAAAAATTAACTTATATCAATTTTTTAAAGAAACTATTATAAATTTAAGAATTGTTCAAGTTTTCTTAATGTTATTATGTATCCCATTAGAAGTAATACGCAACTAAGTTGCGTTATTTAAACTATGTCAATTGAAATTATTAAAAATGTGAGTGATTTTGTTTCCATTATTCGTCCGAAATGAATATTCTGTGTTGTGTAGTATAGGCTAAATATCAAATATTTGTATGTTGCTAAATATTTGTGTAAATATTCCAGGGCTGCCATTGGAGACTAAAAAGGCGACTAAAGCGACTATTTTAAAGCAATAGCAACTATGGCGACTATTTTAGTAGAAATATGAGTAAAAACAACTAAATTGCAATGATTTGCATAAAATCGGCGACTTTTTTAAGCCGAAGCGACTAAAATGAAGAATAGCTTCATGAGTTTCCCCCTTCCCCCACTTTTTTTTGCCGCTCTTTCGTTTTATCCTAACTTTATTATTTCTCACTGTTTGATGTCAAAACCATGACAGACATATTTAACCAATCAGACTGATGGAATTCGCACTACGTGAATGCTCCTCCTGCTTTAGAAAGCTCATGTAATGTCTCTGAGGATTAAGTTTTTTCCTCTCTTCTAATTTGAACGAAGTAGCAAAATTAGAAAAGTTGTCTTTAATTACACAAAATGTGTTGTTAATTTTTTTAGAGCTATTTAGAATAGAAAAAAAGGTACATGGTGATATTCGTTTTGTCGAGTTGTGATCGTAATTTTTTTGATAAGCATTAAAATTCGGAAATATGTCAGTTATGAAAAATAAGCAAAATAAAACGGAACTAAATTGCAATATTTATTTTTTTAATGTCTAAACTAAGCAGCTGCAAATTAGAACCGAAAAAGGAAATTCAGGTTTCAAATTCAACTGTTCTGTAACAGATAAAAATAAAACTCCCTGTTTTTATGCGTAGTGTGAAAGAATATATTGTTGGAAAATCCACAAATAAATGTACATTTTTTATAAAATATGAGTATCTAACTGCATGTTATTTGAATTTTATGCTATTACAGCACAAATAATTAAAATTATGTTAGAGGAGGATATGATGTTAGCAACTATTTTATATATCTTGGAGACTATTTTTCATATATGATGCAACTAAAGCAACTATTTTTCTTGTTTTCAACCAGTGGCAGCCCTGATATTCTCTAACTTAGTAGCAGCAATAGCTGTTTATTTTTGAAAATGTAACTTTTATAATTTTACAGTGTTGAGCATTATCTTGTATGTCTTTACAATTTAAAAACTCCTTGAAAAAGTTTTTTGCAATAACAGAACCCTATTTGCACAAATTCACAAAAGCAGGACCCAGGTTGAAAGAATGTGACTTAACGTTTATTTTCTATTCACAAATTACGAGTAATTTTTTCACAATTTTACAAAAACGGACCTTTCACAAAATATCTGGACAGACCCCTGGTGAAAACACCCTGTTTAAGTAAAATATGCGTTGAGCAATGAATTAAAAATTCTTATTCTTTGTGTTTGTAATACATTAAAATTGGTAATTTTTTTTGTTTGTTTATTTCCTTCCTAACAACCATATTTCATACATTCGATCAAGAAATATGAAGTCTGGTCATTTGATAGGCTGTAGTAGAAATAGGCATAGATTAAGTGTTGGCATGTTTAGTGTTAAGTTTTTTAAAAAGTCACTGTTTGATTATAAAATATTCTTTTATGACTCTAAGGCACATGCATTTATTTACTTTTTTTATGATTTCAGGAGTCAAGTTCAGCTGGCCTTAGTCTCACCTGGTAAGTTAACTTTTTCTCACTTATGACTATCCCAGATAGCAAAATAAGGTTTATTTTCACTCGTTTTAGGGGGTATGGCTAATCGAGCAATTTTAAATATTAATTACTAAATAACCAGTTAACTAGGGTGCGTAGCATTTTTGAAAAGTGCTTAAAGGTGCTTATTTTCGTTTTTTAAAAGCCTTTAAAGAAGCTTTTTTTTTATGGGGTGTTTTTAAAAAGTGCTTACTTTTCCCTATTCTAAAATGAGATTTTTTTTTCTTTACCATATCAATTTTTGCCTCGAATTACGCAAAAAGAGTGGTTTTCACAGAGTTCTATTTAACGTTTTCATTCAACCACAATCCATTTTGGCCTATCGTCAGTCCGTAGCGTACGAAATCATTTTATGAAATAATTGCGAAAACTGAGCTGGATTCATGAGCACCTCTGCTGCACGAGCGATAATCTTCTTAAATAATTGTTAAGTTAATTATTTATAATTTTGAATGAATTTTTCTTTACATCATTTTTGTAAAGTAATTATTAATTTGAAAAATTGAAAGATTCACTCACTATTGAATACGTTTGAAATTGTGCATAAATTGTTTTTACGGTGGCTAATATAACAGCGAAAAGAATTCTTTGTCAAAAACAAGTTATTTTATCATGATCATGTAACTTGGAAAACTATTTTGCATTTTGTAAACACTTCATTTATATGAAGAATTGTGAATTTAAGAAATTACTCCGTATGCCCTATTATGGGCAGATCAGTTATTTTATTTTATTTCTATGAAGAACTTTCAACAATGTAAAGGAAAAATAATTATTAGTGCGCATATCCTAGTTATAATATTTTTTAAAGCTCTTAAAAATATTTTTTGAGTGATTAAAATGTACTTAAAAGGTGCTTTGTTGAAAAATTTGGCTGCGCACCCTGTTATACCCATTGAAATGAAATTTTTTGTCTATCCTCACAAAATATGGTTTAAAGTTTCATTTTAAAAAATAAAAAAATGCCGCGCAGGTATAAATGATAAAAATTTTTTTTACGTATTCCTTGTACATTTTCCTATATTTCCTTTGATCTTAAGTTTGGTCATTTCAGAAGAAAAAAATTCCAAGCGACATTCAAAAAAGAAAAAAAAAAGAAAAGAAAAAGTGAAATTTCAGTTTAATATTCCTTAAAATGAGACTCAAGTACCTCCTCTCATTTAGCTTTTAAATTTATTCCAACCTTCATCACAAAATATAAAAACAGGGTTCGTAACGTTTTTAAAAAGTGCTTGATTTTCTATTTTTTTTTTAAAAAAGAGATTACAAAAAAATTCATGATTCTCACAATTTTCCTTGCTATAATTATCAGAAACTAGTTATTTTTATCATGATTATGCAAGGTTTTTGAATTTTATTGATTTTAAGCTGATAAATTAAGAACTTTAAACGATAAAAAGAATTTTTTATTACTGCACAGTTCCTAATTGTTATTATTTATGTTTTTGGAAAGTGATATAAAATATTTTTTGAGTGCTTGAAAAAGTGCTCATATTTTGTTTAAAAATCAGGCTACGCACCCTGATTAAAAATTGACATCAGCTTTGTAACTTTATGGGTATTATTGTGGGTTCGTAAAAAGTGTTTGATTTTTTATCTATTAAAAAGAAATTTTTTTTCTTTGCGCGTCGATTGTCGTTCTAAATTACAGAAAGAAAAGAAATATAAATGAATAAATAATGAATGATTTTCACAATTTTCACTGCATTAATTATCAGAAACTAGTTATTTTTATCGTGATTATGCATAGTTTTTGAATTTTATTAATTTTATGTTTATAAATTAAGAAATTTAAACGATAGAAAAAAAAATTATTGCTGCACAGATCCTAATTATGATTTTCGTTTGAAAAGTGATTTAAAATATTTTTTGAGTGCTTAAGAAGGTGCTTATATTTTGTTTAAATATCTGGCTGCGCACCCTGATTAAGAGTTTTAATTGTCCTTGAATATCCTTAGTCTAAAGATGTTCAGTTATTTTAACAGGTTTAGTTTTTTTCTAGAATAATGTGAGTGCAATGTTTTAATTTGCTAAAAAATTGCCAGTTCTTTTGTAACTTCGTGGGTATTGTCACCCACTAAACTGTTGGGCATGCACAATTTTTACATTTATATTTTTTGTCTTTTAAGGATTCCGGCAGCTGGATTGTCTTCTAGGAAACGTGAGCACGAGCCCTCCGACGATTCCGACGAGGTGAGTCATATTTTCTGTTTCGATCTTTGAGTCCTTTTCATTTGTAAGGATTGAAATTTTTGGAAATAATATACAGTAACCTGGCCAAGTTATTAGACGCACTGTAAGATTCCATGTAAAATCTTAATTATCTGGTGATACCTATATAGCTTTATTATTTTTATGCCGGTTTGGGCACTTCTTTACGCTCGTGTATTAATTGGTTAATATTTGTAATGCAATACGTTTAAAAATAAATACAAATAGGAAGTCTATAAAAAATCTGAATTATCAGGGAATTTTTTTATACTAGAAAAACCTGGAAAAGTCGGGGAAATTGGGATGAAAACCTGGAAAAATCAGGGAAAGGTTGGAATTTTTCTTTTAATTTAAATTATTTTACCACTTTTATTTAGACGTAAATTTATCATAAAAAAGTTTAAATGTCATCAACTCAGCAATACTTTTCTTGCATAAAAATTCTCTTCATTATTACCCTGCTGAACTAGAATGCCATTTCAAACTCTCTTATGTGGGGAAATGAATGGAGAAATCTTTGACCTCTTTGGAGATTATGGGACTATGCAGTTTAAGAAAGGCAAAAATGTGGAAGAAAGGATTAGGATATTTGCTTTTGTTTATAAAAGTAGCATTTTTTAAAAAAATCTACTTTTAGTCTGTGGGCTGAATTCATTAATTGTTAAAGTTTGTTCCGATGCTTTGGGGGTATTTTTTTCTTTTAACAAAATTATTCAAAATGTTTTAGTATTTTTAACTTTATAAAATTCTCCAAAAAATAATTAGTTATAATTAAGAGATTTTTTCTTGCACTCTTTTTCTGAAAGTTTTTGCACAATGAATCATTTTTCTCAGCAAAGCCAGCCAATCGCTAATAGCAAAATTGTTACAATTGTTGCATTGATGCTGATTTTCTGGATTTCATGATAACTTTTATTTTGATATTTCCGAAATTGTTTCTCCTTTAAACCTAAAAAGCTGGCAAAAACCAAGGAATGTATGGAAAACATGTTAAATGATATATTAACTTTGAATGGGAAAAAAATATTTATATTTGTTTATTAGAAAGAAGATAAACAAAACTTTGTTCCTTTGTTCTGCACTGCAACCAGATGACAAATATTTCAAACTTAATATTAAGTAAACTAAGTATCCTTTCCAAGGTAAAAAACTGAAGATTTAGAAATAATGATTTTTATCTTATAAATATCAGTTTTCAATAAGTCATAGAGCTGTTAAATGAAGGGCAACATCATTTGAAATTTTAAACCATGGTAAGGGAATCTTTAACAAAGTCCAGTTTTTTTTTTTTGAAAAATTCACACTAATAATAGAAAATGAAAGAATACTAATTAAAGTAAACTATAACAAAACAGGTTCTCTGACACAAATATGTAGAAACGTTTCTCATTTTGATTTACAAAAAAATTCTCAAGATGCACTTTTGATCTTTTACGTGTAACACCAAAATACATAATTAATTGTACTGTAGCACTAGGATTTAATATAATCAAATTATTTTTTCTGTTTAAAGCAAGATTTTAATAATAATAAATATTTTTATTTTAAATAAATTTATTTTTACACACCACTCAGTCAGACACCACTGCTTTTCATTACATTTGTTTTTATTTATTTTCATCTCTTATTTCACCTTTTCTATATGAAATGAAGTAAAATATGAAGAGAAGCAATATAAATATTCCTTAAGGTTAATTGACAACAATATATTTCACCTCAGTAACCTAATAAAATTTTTGAAACTATGCTGTACTTAAAGTTATTTATATTATAGCTTAAAATTGGTCAATGAAGTTTTATCATATTTTTTTTAAATTTAATTTTATTTATTTATTTGAGGTATACATCTCAGTTTCAATTTTATTTTTAATTTTATTTCAGCATTTTACTCAGTTTTAATTCCATGATTTTTAAAATGATTAAATTTAGGAAAATATTGCTTAAATGTGAGTTTTATTTATTTTAATATATTACATTGATGTTAATATATTACACTGTTGTTAATATACGTTAAATGAGTTACATTTGAATTTCAATCACTCATTTTAACACCATAGTTAAAATGAGTGATTTTTCAACTAACTTTTATAAAATGGAAAATGTTATAAAACATATTAATCTGACCATTACAACAGGAAATAGAGGACAATTTAAATTTAAAGAAGCTATTTATTTAAAAAATAATATTTGTATCATTAAGATTAAAATTAAAGTAATTTTCAGTCAATATAATGGTTATCATTAACTTAAATTTCTATCCAATTTGAGAAATTTACTTTGACACTGAAGTAAAAAATTTCAAATTAATTATGTATCATATTTCAAAAACAACTGCATAGAATTTTTTATTCAAATGTCTGCTTCAAAATTCAGTCAAGTTTACATTTAAATTATAAAAAAATTCACACCGTTTAGACAATTTGTAAATTAGTAATAATTTTTTTGCTTTCGAGCGATTCACATCCGACAGCAACAATTTAATCCATTTAATTTGAACTTATAATAATCAGTTTTTATAAAAAAAATTTTTTTTTTTTCGTTAGGCTATGATATACTAAATATTTAAAGTAAAAATTTGATGATTATAAACTTTTGTTTTATAAGATAGTTTTTCTAAGAAATTAATGTTAACTTTTTTCCGACACCATGAAATTGCCCAGATGTAAAAACAAAACCAATTAACTCATCTAAACTAGGAAACCATGTTAGATTGGAATTCTTAATATTTTCTAATTTCCATTAAGAAAGTGAAAAAAAAAGAATAAAAGTTAAAGAATTTTATCTAGTTTTTTTTCAATAGAATATGCAACAGGCAATTGACAATTTTTCCTTTACAAATACTGAATATGTCTTAAAATAATAGTGGTAATTTGAAACAAACAACATTATTTAAACATTTGACTTATGTTATTGGTTTAAAGAAAATTATTTCAATGAATTCTATAAAGAGCACTGTTTGTATAAAATACAGTATAAAATGGCTCTATATTGAAGTGTAAATAAATATAAAAATTTATTGGTTTCTAATCACCTGGAATTATTTTCATCCGCTTGATTGAAATATGTTAAACGGTACTCATCCAAGGTTGTTTTGGGTCATTGCTATTTGCTACATTTTGTGCAAAAACTATTTAAAACTTTAAAAAAAATTTAAATTTAAATTTGAAAATTTATTCATTAAAAGCGTTATTTTCTGCAAGTTAAACATATTGCTTCCTCCACATTTATTCCGGATGATATATTAAAAAAATAAAATTTGAAATGAAATATTGCACTATTATATTGACTAATACACTAATATTGTCACTTTTCTTGTACCTATACTACACTTAAGCAGGTAAAAAAAACATGCTGACCTGGAAATTGTAAGAATTTTACTGGAAAAATCAGGGAAATTTGAAACCTGATTTGAGTGGCCACCCTGAATAAAAAACTGTTTTATTTATTTTTTTATTTTTGTTTGCTTGTTCCTTAATATACAGTGAAATTCTTTCAAACTATTTTTTTATTGTATATAAAAATAATGAAACTTTATTGGCATTTTTTCCTAATTTTTTTTAAAAAAAGAAAGAAAAATAGCAACAGTTGTTTTATTCCAGGATTTTTAAAAGTATTAAATTTAAGGAAATATTGTTTAAATATAGTTCTATTTACATTGTTATTATTATTTGTTGCACAGTTAAAATTAAAATGAGTGATTTTTCAACTAACTGTTACAAGATAAAAAACATATATATTATAAATGAAAAACATATACATTATAAAACATATTGATCCATCCATTCCAACAGGAAATAGGAGACAATTTAAATTTAAAGAAGCTATTTAATTGAAAAATAATGTTAATAGTTTTAAGATTAAAATAAAAGTAATTTTCAGTCATTATAATGGTTATCATTAACTTAAATTTATATCCAACTTGAAAAATTTACACCTGACTCTGAAGTAAAATAATTTGAAATTAATTATTTGTCATCTTTTACAAGCTAAGAATTGCATAAAATTTTTTATTCAAATATCAACTTCAAAATTCTGTCAAGTTTACAACAAATTACAAACAAATTCAAACAGTTTGGACAATTTGTATATGAGTAATAATTTTTTGCTTTCTTGCAATTTTCATCCGACACCAACAATTTAATGCATTTTAATTTGAACTTATAATCAGTTTTTATTAAGCAAATTGTTTTTCGATAGATTATGATGTACTAAATATTTAGTATAAAAATTTTGATGATTATAAACTTATGTTTTATGAGATAGTTTTTTTTAAAAGAAATTTATGTTCATATTTTAGGCCCGACATCATGGAATTACCCAGTTGTAAAAACAAAACAAAAAAATTAGCTAATCTAAACTAAGAAAACCATGTGGTTAGATTGTAATTCTTTAAATATTCTAATTTCAAATAAGAAAAAAGAAAGAGTAAAATTTAAAGAATTTTACCTAGTTTTTTTCTATAGAATATGCAACAAGAAATTTGACAATTTAGCATTTGCAGACACTGAATATCTCATGAAAAATAATGCTAATTCAAAACAAACAACATTATCTAAACATTTGATATTAGACATTAATTTCAAGAAAATTATATTAATGAATTTTATCAAGAGCACTCTTTGGATAAAACACATTATAAAATGGCTCTAAATGTAATAAATATAACTATAAATGTAAATAAATATACAAATTTATCGATGTACAATCGCCTGGAATTTTTTTCTTTTGCTTAATGAAAATATATTAAACAGTATTTTTCCAAGGCTTTTTTGTCACTCTGAATTTGCTATTTTGATATTCATTTTGTGCAAAAACTACTTAACTCTTTTTTAAAAAAATTATTCATTAAAAGCATTATTTTCTGCAAACTAAACATATTGTTTCCTCCATATCTATTCAAGTTGATATATTAAAAAAAATAACATTTTAAGTAAAATACCTTATAGTATTGAAACTTTTCTTGTACCCACCTACACTTTAAA